GGTGGGCGAGCGTGCTGCACCCTGGGGTTCTCGGTTGGAGATGCCCGGGGGCTGTGGGTGGCTCTCTGGAAGGGCTGGGGCAAAGGGCAGACTGCAGGCCAAGTTGGCATTGGCGGGCTGTGGGTGGCGTGTTGCTGCAGGGCTCCTGGGAGCAGGTGAGGGCAGGGTGAGGAGTGTGGAGCCCAGCCCAGCCCAGCACGTGCCCATGGCAGGGTGGGCGCTTAGCCCCTGCTGCAGATCCCAGCATCCCTCCGGCTGCTGGGCAGGTGGGGAACGGGCACAGAGAAGTGCCTCAGGCCTCAGGGCTCTGCCTGCTCCTCGCCCAGCTGGTGAGCCTGGCCAGTGAGGTCCAGGAGCTGCACCTGGCCCAGCGGAAAGAGATGGCCTCTGGCTTCAGCAAGGGGCCCACGCTGGGGCTGCTGCCCGAAGTGCCGTCGCTCATGGAGACCTTCAGCTACAGCTACTGCTACGTGGGAATCATGACCGGTGAGTGGGCCGCCCTCCACGCCTCCCGCCCGCAGCCCTGCCTGGCCTGTGCCCCCAGCCTGCAGCTCCTGGGCAGTGCCGGCCTCTTCCAGGAGCGGGCGGAGGCAGCGTCCCCTCCTGTCGTCTGCTCAGCCCTCAAGGCCTCTGGGCACACGGTGTCCACTCCCTGAAGGCCAGGCTGGCTGAGCCGAGAGCTCCATCCAGGCCTCCCCCGTGTGTGGGCACTTGTACGGGGCGTTCACTGCAGGGCGCTGGGACCCGACCCCAGGCCCTCCTGGACAGACACTGCTTGTCACCAGAGTCCTGTCTGGTGGTCTGGTGTGAACACACAGGTGGCCGTGGTGGGGACCCCCGACGCCCCGAAGGGGCAGGGCTTGCCTGTTTTCACTCCTGTCTCCCACTGCCCGCTGGTCACCCAGCCAGGAGCTGCGGGTACCAAGTGGCCGGGCCGCACTGGCCCACCTGCCCGCCCGCGGCTGACTGCCCCTGCCCCTCCGCAGGCCCCTTCTTCCGCTACCGCACCTACCTGGACTGGCTGGAGCAGCCCTTCCCGGGCGCCGTGCCCAGCCTGCGGCCCCTGCTGCGGCGCGCCTGGCCGGCGCCGCTCTTCGGCCTGCTCTTCCTGCTGTCCTCGCACCTCTTCCCGCTGGAGGCCGTGCGCGAGGACGCCTTCTACGCCCGCCCGCTGCCCGCCCGCCTCTTCTACATGATCCCGGTCTTCTTCGCCTTCCGCATGCGCTTCTACGTGGCCTGGATCGCCGCCGAGTGCGGCTGCATTGCTGCCGGCTTCGGGGCCTACCCCGTGGCCGCCAAAGCCCGGGCCGGGGGCGGCCCCACCCTCCAATGCCCACCCCCCAGCAGGTCAGGCGGCGGGAGGGAGGCTTCCCACGACCCGGCAGGCCCCGGCAGCAAGGGCTGGCTCTGCCCCTAGCAGGGAGGAGAGCGGGGAGCAGGCAGGGCCCCCAGCCACACTTAGCGTTAGTGAGCGTCCCCTGGCAGGCCGGCTTGGCCCCGTCCCCCCACCCCGTGCAGGGCAGCTGCCCCTGGGACCTGGCCGTCACCCCGTGCTGCTAGCTCCCAGCCCCACCTCTGGTCTGCCGCCCCTGCCAGGAGGCCCAGGGTGGTATCTTAGCAACCAGCATCACCCCTCTGTTGCCGTGGAAGTGTCACCCCCAAAGCCGGTGGCTCCCAGTGGCTGGAGCGGCTGTCACCCAGCCGCCCTGTTGCTAGGGATATGGCATCCCTAACCCTAGCAACAGGGCTTCCCTCCCTTCTTTGCTGCGAGTGTCACTGTTTGTGGCTCCTGGAAGGGCACTCGTGAGCTGCTGCTGAGGAAATGGGGCCCAGGCTGTGCCGCCCTCCAGCCAGGGGGACCTTGACCCCTGCTGCCACGCCCCCTGCCCGGTGCCTTCTGGGTGGGGAGGCTGCAGAGCTGGCAGCTGGCACTCTGGGTGCTGAGGCATTCTGGCCCCTGGCACCCAGATGTCACCTCATCTCTGCCCCTGGGACTCCACTGTCCACCTGGCCCCGGGGACAGGGGCTAGGGTACAGCCCCTGGGCGCCATTGTCCCGTCTGTCCTGCTCCCCTAGGTCAGGCAGGGATTGAAATCTCCTCTCAGTCTGCCCCACGCCCACCCCAGGGTGGCTCCTCACCCAGGGACAGCCAGGGGCGCTGGGGTGCCACTTCCCCGGGAACTGCCATGTTCCTGGTGGTGGCTTTAACAGGGACCTGGAAAGCTTGCCTGAGCATCCCAGCCAGTCCTTGTTGCTAAGGAATGCCTCTTCCTTAGCAACAGAGATCACTTGGCCACCTTCCCAGGGCCTGGATCATCTCCTTAGCAACCGAGAGCCACCTTGTTCCCAGATGCTGCTTCCCTAGCAACCGCCGTGCCCCCGGCGACCCAGGACCCTCCCGGAGTCCTCCCTGGATCGCCAGGGGGCCGCAGCCGGTCCCTGCTAGCCCCCAGGATTGTGAGCCGTGGCCCTGGCCAGAGCCTGCCAGGACTGCAGCGGGCAGGCCCCTTAGAGCTCCGGGCTGGGACAGCAGCGGGCGGCGGAGAGCCCGGCTGAGCTGCGTGTCTGTCCCCACCCTCACCCCACCCCCAGTCCGGAGAAGGCGGCCTCCCTGGAGTATGACTATGAGACCATCCGCAACATCGACTGCTACAACACGGACTTCTGCGTGCGGGTGCGGGACGGCATGCGGTACTGGAACATGACGGTGCAGTGGTGGCTGGCGCAGTACATCTACAAGAGCGCACCTACCCGCTCCTACGTGCTGAGGTGCGTCAGCCCCGCTCTGGCGGGGAGCAGCCGAGAACTACACTTCCCGGCATGCCCCTGGCGGCCTGCAGGCTCCCTAACGGGGAGCCGTGCCCCCAGGCCTCATGGGAGTTGTAGTTTCCTGAGCTTGCCGCTGTAGCTACTTGCGTGAGGTGGGCCCAGGATCTGGGTGTCAAGGCTTGGCTCCTGCTGGCCGCGTGCGGCGTGCGGGCCTCGGGTCAGATAGGAACAGGGCCTGGCAGGTGAGTCATATCAAACACGATCGGTCCTGTCTGCTGATTGGAAGGGCAGACTGACAGCGAGAAGGGTCACTCCCCAGATCGCTGCAGTGACCAGAGCTGGGCTGGTCAGGGGCTTCCTCCAGGTCTCTGTCGTGGGTGCAGGGTCCCAGGCACTCAACAGCGGAATCAGAAGTGTAGCCACAGGGATTAGAACCGGGGCCCAAGTGGGATGCTGGAGGCTTAACTTCCTAACCACAGCAACCCCTCTTGTGATTTTTAAAATTTTTTTGAAGATTTATTTTTATTAGAAAATCAGATATACAGAGAGGAGAGAGAGAGAGGAAGATCTTCCATCCAATTATTCACTCCCCAAGTGACACAACTGCCAGAGCTGTGCTGATTCTGAGCCAGGAACCAGGAGCCTCTTCGGGTCTCCCACACAGGTGCAGGGTCCCAAGGCTTTGGGCCGTCCTCAACTGCTCTCCCAGGCCGCAGGCAGGGAGAAGAATTATTTGAAAAAGAGTTACACACATACAGAGAGATTCTTCCATCTGCTGGGTCATTACCCCGGAACCAAGCCGGGCTGATCTGAAGCCAGGAGCTTCATCTGGCTCTGTCACGTGGATGCTACAGTACCTGGGCGTCTGCTGCTGCTCTCGCAGTTAGTACACAGGGATGGACAGAGCTGGTGCCCGTGCGGGACGCTGGCGTTGCAGGCAGCAGCCTTACACGGCTTTACAGCTGCACAGCACCGGGGCGCCCTGGGGAGCTGCTGCCCGGGGCCCTCAGGTGGGGACGGAGGGAGCAGGCGGCAGTGGCGTCTGGGAAGCGGGCTGTGGCCCAGCACCGGGGGCTTGTGGTGACCTGTGGAGAAGCAGTGAGGACAGGACGCATGGGTGGCACCTCCAGGGAAGGGGACGCCTGCGGCTGGAAGGGCGGAGGCCAGGCTGACACGCACACCTGACTCCTCTGGCGGCCAGGAGCGGGGCTGGTGTGGACACCTGGGTGTCGGCAGGTACAGCTGGCCGCGATCAGCGGTGTGGCCCGCTGCTGCCGCCAGGGGCACCCTGCAGGCCACTCGCAGCACCTGGGGGGCAGGGGGTGCTGTCCACTCCCGGCAGAGCCCTGGGGTGCACGGCCAGGTCTCCGGCGGCAGCTGGCCGAGTCCCTCCCCTGACACCCGTCTCCAGCCCGGACCCCCAAGGCCGGGAGCTTAGCTTCCTGGGGCTGGGGTCAAGGGGAGCAGGAGGTAGTGGGGCGACCTGGTTCCAGACAGGCTCTGTTGCTTGGAGCAAGGCCGGGTGGGCCTGGGTCAGAGTGGGGGGCCGGCCGGGTCCCCTGGAGCTGAGCTGACCGCAGCCCGCCCTGCAGGAGCGCCTGGACCATGCTGCTGAGCGCCTACTGGCACGGCCTGCACCCCGGCTACTACCTGAGCTTCCTGACGGTGCCGCTGTGCCTGGCGGCCGAGAGCCGGCTGGAGTCGGCGCTGCGCGGGCGGCTGGGCCCTGGCGGGCAGCAGGCCTGGGACTGGGTGCACTGGTTCTTCAAGATGCGCGCCTACGACTACATGTGCATGGGCTTCGTGCTGCTGTCCATGGGCGACACGCTGCGCTACTGGGCCTCCGTCTACTTCTGCATCCACCTGCTGGCGCTGGCCTGCCTGGCGCTGGGCCTGGCCCTGGGCGGAGGCGGCCCGGGCCGCAGGAAGGCAGCGCCGCCCCAGGCCGCCGAGCCGGCCGCCGAGAAGCTCCGGGAGGAGTGAGCTGCCGGCCGGGGGAGGCCTCGCTGGCCAGGAGCCTGGAGAGGAGTCCCTTTCCCAGCCAACCACCCTGCCTGCCACCGCAGCCCGGCCGGGGGCCACCGTCCAGGCCCTCCGAGAGCCACGCATAGCCGAGTGGAGGACTTCCCGGGCCCATGCCCCCTGAGGATGCCCGGCCTGCAGGGGTCCGGGGCGGGGACCTCCTGGTGTCGTTTTGCTCCACTTGACGCCCTGCAATCAGTGTTTCGGCCATGGAGGGACCACCCACCCATCACTTCATGGCGGGTACGGGGTCGCGCCTGCAGGGGACCACCGACTGCCCTCAGCCCTCTGTCGGAACCGTTAATCTTTCCCAATAAAGCCTTGCGCCAGGAGCCTCGTGCGCGTGTGGGGTCTGGGCGCACCTGAGCGCCGCCGCCGTCCTCCCTCCGGCCGCGGGGAGGCAGGCACGCCCGCCTCGGCACCGCCCTCACCTGGGCCAGTCCCCGCCCCGGCCGCCCTGGCCAGCAGACGGAAACCGGGAAACGGCGGCGAGCGAGCCCGGGGGCCATGGCAGGAAGCCTGGCCTGGGAGTCCGGAGCCTGGAGCCCCTCCGGGGAATGGCCGGCCCCGCGGGGCCCCGCAGGAGGTGGGGGGCTCAGAGCCAGCCAACTTTCAGGCTGAGGGAAAGTTGGAGAGGGAGGGAAAGAGATGGGGCTGGACCCCGGGGTGCAAGGAAGGAAGAACTGGGCTGGACCCCTGGGTGTGAGGGAGGAGGGGCTGGACCCCTGGGTGTGAGGGAGGAGGGGCTGCACCCCTGGGTGTGAGGGAGGAGGGGCTGGACCCCTGGGTGTGAGGGAAGAGGGTCTGGACTGGACCCCGGGGGTGAGGGAGGAGGGGCTGGACCGCTGGGTCTGAGGGAGGAGGGGCTGGGCTGCACCCCTGGGTCTGAGGGAGGAGGGGCTGCACCCCTGGGTCTGAGGGAGGAGGGCTGGACTCTGCAGGGGACAGCTGTGGTCCCCGTGGTTTTACTTGCCCCCTGCTCTCCTGCCCAGGGAAGTCTCTGGCCTCTGTGCTGAGTGAACTCCCCAGTGCTGCCACCCTGCGCTACCGTGGCCCCGGGGTGCCGCCCTGGGGGGCCCTGGAGGGGGAGGAGGAGAGAAGCGGCAGGCAGACCCCGGCAGCGGCCACCCCGGCAGAGCTGGAGGAGCCACAGGCCCCGCGGGCGCTGCCCTGGCCCATGGCGGCCCGCCGGGCGCACAGGTGAGGGCCCAGCCCCGTCCCCGTCCCGTCCGCTCCCCAGCTGCTCCCGCCGGCCTCCAGGGGCTCCCCAGCTGCTCCCGCCGGCCTCCGGGGGCTCCCCAGCTGCTCCTGCCAGCCTCCGGGGGCTCCCCAGCTGCTCCCGCCGGCCTCCGGGGGCTCCCCAGCTGCTCCTGCCAGCCTCCAGGGGCTCCCCAGCTGTTCCCGCCGGCCTCCAGGCTAGCTTTTCCTTCCTCTGTCCCCCCATGACTGAGGGTCCCCTTTCTCTGTCTCCACTCAGTCAGAACTGCGGGTGCCACACCCCGCCCCTGGTGCCAGAGTTGCTCGGCCGCCTCCCCCGTCCTTTCTTGGTTTCTGTTTTCCTCCTCCTCCTTTGCACTCTGCGTCCCTGTCTGGTTGGACCGTGGCCAGACAAGTGCACGGAACCCCGCGTGCAGCTGCAGGGGCTAGTGGACGCCCCTGCCCCCAGGGGACCCTCTCACCTGGGACTTTGTCTCGCAGCTCTACCTCTGACTGCAGCCTCCAGGAGCTCCTGCCCTTGGACTTGGAGTCCTGGGCGGCCCCTAGCTGAGCTGTGTCCTTGTGGCTAGGCAGCTGCCCCTGCCCACCCCGATCCCCGCTGGGGGCTGCCTCTGACTCAGTTTCCCTCTCAGGCAGAGCCAGGCCTGGGACCAGACAGCCCACGGCTCGGAATCCCGCACGACCCGCTGGGCCAGGCTGCTCCGCGGGTCCCGGGAGAAGACGAGGAAGTGCATCCACAGGCTGAAGCCCTGGGCATGGACCCTGAAGAGGATCGGGGGTGCGAGGGGCGTCCTGGGGGCACGAGCGCTGATGTGGGGTGGTGGGTGAGGATTCGGCCCCAATCCGGCCGCTGGCCACCGTCTCTCGGCCGCCCCCTGCAGGACAGTTCGGCGCCGGCACCGAGTCCTACTTCTCGCTTCTGCGTTTCCTGCTGTTTCTCAACCTGCTGGCCGTGCTGCTGGTGGTCTGCATGGTGCTGTTGCCCACCTGGCTGGACGGGGCTCCCCCGGGGCCCCCGGCCCCTGACCCCTCCTCACCCTGCGGGACCTACAACCCCCGCTCCCAAGGCCTGGTCACCTTCCTCTCCCAGCTCTTCAACTTACTCTCCGGAGAGGTGAGGGCCAGGGTCCAGGGGAGTTGCCCGCCCAGCCCCCATGCCCCCGTCTCCCCCCGCAGGCCTCCCTGCCCAGCCCCGGCCCCCATCCTGCCCGTCTCTCCCGCAGGGTTACCTGGAATGGTCCCCCCTCTTCTACGGCTACTTCCCGGCCCGCCCGCGCCTGGCCGTGCCCTACCTGTGCTCGGCCTTCGCCATCAGCCTCCTCAGCCTCGTGCTCATCTTGTACCGGTGAGCGCACCCCGGGGTGGGGCCTTTTGTGTTTGCGCCAAAATAAGGAGACTTTTTTTTTTAGATGTATCTATTTGAAAAGCAGAGTTGAGACAGAGAGGCCTTCCCTCCGCTGGCTCACTCCCTGCCACAGCCAGGGCAGGGCCAGGCCAGAGCTGGGCCTCCCACATGGGTGCCAGGGGTCCGAGCACTTGGGCCAGCACCTGCCGGCTCAGAAGCAGAGCCCGGACCCCAACGGGACCTGCGGTGTGAGGACGTAGCTATCCCAGGCGGCATCTGGCCGGCTGTTTGCCACAGGCCCACCGAGCACGGGGCGTTCAAGCAAAGTCTGTGAGCGGGAGAGGGTTTTGTGCCTCGTGTGGCAGGCAGAGGGGGCCAGGTGGGTGCAGATGTTGCCTTGGGCTGGCTGCAGCTTCCGGAGCTCACACACGTGGCTGGTCTGCTACTGGCTTTTAAAGGAGACAGCTCTGGAGCCAGCGCTGTGGTTCAACAGGCTAGTCCTCTGCCTGAGGCAGCGGCACCAGACATGGGTGCCAGTTCATGTCCCAGCCGCTCCGCTTCCCACCCAGCTCCCTGCTGTGGCCTGGGAAAGCAGCCGAGGACGGCCCAAAGCCCTGGGACCCTGCACCTGCGTGGGAGACCTGGAAGAGGCTCCTGATTGGCTCAACTCCAGCCGATATAGTCATGGGGGGGGAGTCAACTAGCAGATGGAAGATCTTTTTGTCTCTTCTTTGTGGATCTGCCTTTCAAGAAAATATAGATAAATCTGAGAGAGAGGGAAGGCCCTGCGGGCTGGCGTCAGGGAGAAGGGGCCTCAGGCTGAGCAGGTGGAGGAGGGGGCAGCTACTGCAGTAACCAGGGGGGCATGTTGGCCACTGGGGCCTAGGTCTGCATGAGGGCTGGGACAAGGCCTCTGCTGGGAGTCACCTGGTGTGGGGGGTCCACACCAGCAAGGGGTGGGGCCAAGTCGAGCCGTCCCGGGCTCCCACCCGAAGCTGTCCCTGCACCCAGCTCCCACCTGCGGCCGTCCTGGCTCCACCCGGGGCCGACCTGGCTCCCACCCGAAACTGCCCCCGCACCCAGCTCCCACCTGCGGCCATCCCCGCTCCCACGCGAGGCCATCCCCGCTCCCACCCGAAGCTGTCCTGCCATGCCCCTGTCCCTCTTGCAGCTCCGTGTCCGGTATGAAGCAGATGCTGCTGGCCGAGTCGGGGACTCTGACCAGCTACAGCCACCGGGTGTTCACCGCCTGGGACTTCGGCCTCCGCGGGGACGTGCACGTGCGGCTGCGCCAACGCAAGATCCTGTATGAGCTGCAGGTGCGCCGGGCGAGTGGGGCGGGACGGCGGGGAGGCCGGTAGGACGCCCCGGGTCGAAGGGCGCAGCCACAAGCAGGGAGCAGGCAGGCAGGCGCCCCGGTTCCAGGGGAAGGCGTGGACCCGGTCCGGGTGGGGGGGATCCGATGACGGCCCCCTTGGAGGAGGGGGCTCTGGGCGGAGACCCGGCGGGATGGGGGCACCGAAGTGCGTCTCTGCCCCGGCCCAGGTGGAGCTGGAGGAAGCCGTGGTGCGGCGCCAGGCCGCGGGGCGCACGCTGGGCCAGACGGTGCGCCTGTGGGCGGTGCGCGCGCTGCTCAACCTGCTGGTGCTGGCGCTCCTGGGCGCGGCCTTCTACGGCGTCTACTGGGCCACGGGGTACACCGTGCAGCTGCAGGTGCGGGACCCACGTTCCCGGGGAGGGGTGCGGGGGTGCGGGCTATGAGGGGACCCCGAGGCCTGTCCTCCTGCGCGCCCTGCTCCCGTAGGAGACGCCCCTGGTGCAGCAGACGCCGCTGCTGCAGCTCGTGGTCAACTTCCTGCCGTCCGCGTTCATCTCGGCCGTCAACTTCGTGCTGCCCCCGGTGTTCAAGCTCATCGCCCCCCTGGAGGGCTACACGCGGGGCCGCCAGATCGTCTTCATCCTGCTGAGGTTCCCGCCGGGACGGGTGGGCGCGCCAGGGGCCAGGGCTGTCGGGGGGCCGCCGCCCACCGCCCCCTCTCCCCCAGGACCGTGTTCCTGCGCCTCGCCTCGCTGGTCGTCCTGCTCTTCTCCCTCTGGGCGCAGATCACCTGCGGCGGCAACGCCGAGGCCAAGAGCTGCCAGGGCTGCGGCTACAACAAGGAGCTTCCGGTGGGGACCCCGGCGGGCGCGGGCCGAGTGTGGGGTCCAGGCGAGGGGAGGGAGTGTGGGGTCCATGGGCCTGGGGTCCAGGCGTGGGAGGGAGTGTGGGGTCAGTGGGCCTGGAGTCCAGGCGTGGGAGGGAGTGTGGGGTCAGTGGGCCTGGGGGTGCAGGCGTGGGAGGGAGTGTGGGGTCGCTGGGCCTGGGGGTGCAGGCGTGGGAGGGAGTGTGGGGTCGGTGGGCCTGGGGGTCCAGGCGTGGGAGGGAGTGTGGGGTGGGTGGGCCTGGGGGTGCAGGCGTGGGAGGGAGTGTGGGGTGGGTGGGCCTGGGGGTCCAGGCATGGGATGGAGTGTGGGATCAGCAAGGCTGAGGGTCCAGGCGTGGGAGGGAGTGTGGAGTCGGTGGGCCTGGGGTCCAGGCGTGGGAGGGAGTGTGGGGTCGCTGGGCCTGGGGTCCAGGCGCGGGGGACAGGAGTGTGGAATGTGGACTCCACGGGCCTGGAGGAGGCCCTTCCGACGTGTTCGCTCCCGCAGTGCTGGGAGACCCGGGTGGGCCAGGAAATGTACAAGCTGCTGCTCTTCGACCTGCTGACCGGCCTGGCCGTCACGCTGCTCGTCCAGTTCCCTCGCAAGTGAGCCCCGCCCCCGCCGTGGCCCCGCCCCGGACACACCCCCAACCTGAAAGCCCGCCCACGCAGGCCCCTCCCACTGCTCTGGCCCCGCCCTGGCGAGGCCGATCACAGGCCACACCCACGCGACGATGTGGCAGGAACGTCCCTCTGGCCCCGCCCCCGACGCACTCCCCTTCGATTGGCTGGCGGGGTCCTGGGGGCGGGAAATACCCGGCGGCCACGCCCTCGCTCTGCCCCGCCTCCAACGCACTCCCCTCCGATTGGCTAGCGGGGTGCAGGGGGCTGGGAAGGCCCGGCGGCCACGCCTCCAGTCTGTCCCCGCCTCCGACGCACTCCCCTCCGATTGGCTGGCGGGAGGCGGAGGCCGGCGGCCACGCCCTCACCCTGCCCCGCCCCCGGCGCGCTGCTCTCCCATTGGCTGGCGCAGCAGCCCGGCCCCGCCGCTCACCGGCCCCGCCCCGCAGGCTGCTGTGCGCCCGCTGCCCCGGCGCCCTGGGCCGCCTGGCGGGGACCCTGGAGTTCGAGGTGCCCAGCGAGGTGCTGGGGCTCATCTACGCGCAGACGGTGGTCTGGGTGGGCACCTTCTTCTGCCCTTTGCTGCCGCTGCTCAACACGGCCAAGTTCCTGCTGCTCTTCTACCAGAAGAAGGTGCGCAGCGGGGACGCTCGGGGCAGCCCGACTTCCGGGCCAGGCCGCAGACCCCGCCCCTTCCGCCCGCAGGTGACGCTCTTCGCCACCTGCTCGCCGGCCTCGCGCACCTTCCGCGCCTCCACCGCCAACTTCTTCTTCCCGCTGGTGCTGCTGCTGGGCCTGGCCGTGTCGGCGGTGCCGGTGCTCTACAGCATCTTCCTGTGCGTGTGAGGGCGCGCCCCGCGGCGAGCAGACCGCCCCGCCGCGCCCGCATCACGGCCCCTCTGCCCGCAGCATCCCGCCGTCCAGGCCGTGCGGGCCCTTCCGCGACCTCCCGTCCATGTGGGCGCAGATCCCGCGGGCCATCGAGGGCCTCCCGCAGGCCACCCAGGACTTCCTCTTCTTCCTGGGCACGCAGGCGTTCGCCGTGCCCCTGCTGCTGGTGTGCAGGTGCGGGGCGCGGGGGCGCGGGGCGCGGGGTGCGGTCCCCCTGCTCGGCCGCTCACGGGCCACCCCGTCCCCGCAGCATCCTGCTGGCCTACACCGTGGCCGTGGCCAACTCGTACGGGCGCCTCATCTCGGAGCTGCAGCGGCAGATCCAGACGGTGAGCGGGGCTCGGCTCCCCGGGCGGCCCCCTCGCCCCTCGCCCCTCGCCCCTGCCCGCCTCACCCCTCGCCCTCTGCCCGCAGGAGGCGCAGAACAAAGTCTTCCTGGCGCAGCGCGCCGTGGCGCTGAGCGCGGCCCAGGGGTGAGCGCCGGGGTCCAGAGGGCGCCCTGGTCCTGCCCCCGCCCCCCTGCGCCCCTGCACCCCTGCACCCCGACTCCCCAGCTTCCCGGTTCCCCCGCCCCCCAGCCCCTCGGCCCCCCAGCGCCCCTGTCCCCCGTCCCCCAGCATCCCTCTTTCCCGCATCAATAAAAACACGCCCAGTGCAAAGCCTGTCCTTCCAGCAAGTCGGTCCACGTGCGGGAGAGCTAACGTGACGTGCCCGCCGGCCAATCGGAGGCCGTTCTCTCTGCGTCGGGGGCGGGGTCAGCCGTGATTGACTCTCTAGGCGGGGCGCGGTCGCTAGGCAACGTCGCCGTGGCTAAGAAGACGCCTTAGCCAATCGCCTGTCGCTGCAGGCCGGGGGCGGGCTGATTCATCGAGGACCAATCGGCGGGCGAGGCAGGCACAACAGGAAGCGAGCCCGCCCCTAGGCCGAGCGGAAGCGCGGGGAGGCGGGCGCGCCCGTCAGTGCGCGGCGGCGGCGGCGGCGGCGCCATGAACATCTTGCCGAAGAAGAGTTGGCACGTCCGCAACAAGGACAATGTGGCCCGTGTGCGGCGCGACGAGGCGCGGGCCCGGGAGGAGGAGCGGGAGCGGGAGCGGAGGGCGCTGCTGGCGGAGACGGAGGTGCGGGCCGGGCGGGAGCGCTGGCGCGGGTTCGGGGCCCGGGAGGGAGCGCTGGCCCTGCCCCTCCGCGGGTTCGGGGCCCGGGAAGGAGCGCTGGCCCTGTCCCTCCGCGGGTTCGGGGCCCGGAGGGAGCGCTGGCCCTGTCCCTCCGCGGGTTCGGGGCCCGGAGGGAGCGCTGGCCCTGCCCCTCCGCGGGTTCGGGGCCCGGAGGGAGCGCTGGCCCTGCCCCTCCGCGGGTTCGGGGCCCGGAGGGAGCGCTGGCCCTGTCCCTCCGCGGGTTCGGGGCCCGGGAGCGCTGGCCCTGCCCCTCCGCGGGTTCGGGGCCCGGAGGGAGCGCTGGCCCTGTCCCTCCGCGGGTTCGGGGCCCGGAGGGAGCGCTGGCCCTGCCCCTCCGCGGGTTCGGGGCCCGGAGGGAGCGCTGGCCCTGCCCCTCCGCGGGTTCGGGGCCCGGAGGGAGCGCTGGCCCTGTCCCTCCGCGGGTTCGGGGCCCGGGAGCGCTGGCCCTGCCCCTCCGCGGGTTCGGGGCCCGGAGGGAGCGCTGGCCCTGTCCCTCCGCGGGTTCGGGGCCCGGGAAGGAGCGCTGGCCCTGCCCCTCCGCGGGTTCGGGCCCGGGAGCGACCACGCTGCCGTCGTGCCCTGTGAGCAGTGGGTGCAGGATCTGTCTGTCTCTCAACTGTGTCTTGCAAAAGAACTCTTAATAAAAGGTTTTTTTTTTTTTTTTTTAATTGAAAAGTCAGATATACAGAGAGAAAGATCTTCCGTCTGCTGGTTCACTCCTCAAGTGGCCTGGTGGCTGGAGCTGAGCCAGTCCGAAGCCAGGAGCCAGGAGCCTCTGGTCTCCCGGGCGGTGCAGGTCCCCAGGCTTTGGGCCGTCCTGCACTGCTTTCCCAGGCCGCAGGCAGGGAGCTGCATGGGAAGTGGAGCTGCCGGGATTAGAGCTGGCGCCCATACGGAACCCGGTGTGTGTGAGGCCAGGACTTAAAAAAGACTGAAAGTTGCATAAACAGACCCGGCGAGTGTCAGCCGAGTGGGAATGTGCCGGGGTCTGTGTTCCATCTGATGTGGGGTCACTGCGCCTGCCCGGACCCCGTGTCCAGTGTCCAGTGTCCAGGGGCTGACGTGTGGCCCGTCCCTGCCCCCCAGGCGCGCACCGAGCTGCTGCGGAGCAGAGCCAGGCGGCAGCAGGCGCTGCCCGAGCCCAAGGCGGCCGGGCCGGTGGACCTGTTCCGGGAGCTGCTGGAGGGCAAAGGCGCGGTGAGCAGCGGCAACAAGGACCACGAGGAGGAGCAGCGACAGGAGAAGGTGAGGGGCGGTGGGCGCGGGGAGGAGGTGAGGGGCTGCGGGCGCGGGGAGACCCCGCGGGGAGGAGGTGAGGGGCGGTGGGCGCGGGCGGCCCGCCTGGAGGAGGCTTCAGCCCGGGTTCTGCCACAGGAGCGGCAGGAGAAGGCGCTGGGCATCCTGACGTACCTGGGCCAGAGCGCGGCCGAGGCCCAGACGCAGCCGCCCTGGTACCAGCTGCCCCCGGGGCGCAGGACCCCCCCTGCCGGCCCGGCCCCGGACGAGAAGGTCAAGAGCCACCTGGACCCCCTGCGGGAGATGCAGAAGCAGCTGGGCAGGAAGCGGCGACACAGCGGTGACCAGGATGCCCTCAGCAGCAAGGGCAGGAAGGAGCGGCCCAGCAGCCAGCGGCCCCCTGGGTAAGGAGGGCGGCTCTGGGGGGGGCGTGTTGGGGGGCTTGGCCCGCCTGGCTGGCAGAGCAGGGCTGTGCCCTTGGGGGCTGGCTGCGCAGAGGGCCAGCTGGGTGCCAGCCGCAGCACGTGGGCCCCTGCACCCCGACACCAGGTGGCTGCTTGCAGTGGGGGCAGCAGGACGGAGGGGCCCCGGTTTTCTGACAGGCCTCTTCTCCCCAGGCCCCCGTCCCTGGCCCAGCTGCGAGCGGAGCGTCTGCGGCGGGAGGCAGCGGAGCGGGCGCGGGCGGAGGCCCTGCTGGCGCGGGTGCGGGGCCAGGTCCCGCAGGGGCCGGCCGAGGACCAAGAGGAGCTGGACGAGCGGCGGCGACAGTATAACTCCCAGTACCACCCGCAGCTGGCACGGCGTGCCCGCGGCCAGGCCCCCCAGCCCACCCCCTTCTGAGGGGCTCAGGGAGGCTGCGGCCAGCCGTCATAGAAAACTATTTATTCATAAATATTTTCCAAAATGAAAATAGGTTTACCAAAAAATGTCCCTCGCTGGGGAGGGGAGGGAGCAGGGCGGGGCGGAGGCGGCGGGCCCCAGCCCCCTCCTGCTGCCGGGGAGGGGTGCCCCAGTCCAGGGTGGCGCCCTCGCTGGGCCGGGCGGGAGCATGCGGGGAGGGCCCGCGTCACTGGAGGTCCCGGTCCTCCAGGTAGCGGTACTCGAAGGTGAAGCCTTCCTTCTTGCGCTGGCCCCACTTCTCGTAGTCGAAGTAGATGTAGGTGCCCTGGGGGGGCGCAGGCGGTCAGGGAGCGCCAGCCGGCGGGCAGCGCGAGCTCAGGGCCCCCAGGAGCACCGCTGGCACGACAGGCCGGCTGACCCTCACACCGCCCCCGGCCCCCGGCAGCAAGGAGGGGCACTGGGGGGGTCACAGCTGGAGGGGAGCTCACCCCGGGGCACACGGCTGCCCACGGGCACTGGGGGAGGACGGGCCACGCGCAGGCAGGGCTGCAGCCAGGGCCTCACCTGCTCGAACTCGTCGGTGATGGTCTTGGGCTCCTCGTGCCTCTGGAACCACATCATGTACTTGGTGTGGAACCGCCACGACTGCTTCTTCAGCGCCTTGGCTGCCAGGTACTGTGCCTTGGTGCCCTGGGGAGAAGCCAGCGTGAGGGGAGAGCAGCGTGGCGGGCCGTGTGGCCTCTGGCCAGCAGAGCGGGCAGCCCCAAGCCCGCCCAGTGCGGAGCCAGGAGGGTGCCAGCCTGACCACGCAAGGCTGCCGTGGGGGAGGCATGGCCTGCAGCCCAGGGGCGGGACAGGAAGCGGCTGCAGCTCCCTCCGCCTGGAGCGGACTGCTCACCTCCAGGTAGTAGAAGATGAAGAAGAGCGTCTCCGTGGACAGGCGCTGGTAGAACTCCACTGTGTCCGAGTGCGGGGGCGGCATCTGGTGGTGGTAGGGGGGCGTGGGGCAGGGGTTCCTGGGGAGGTACTGCCTGTGGGGGCACACAGGGTCAGTGCGGGGCATGCAGGCCGGTCCCCCACTCCGGGCATCTCCCCGCAGACGCTCACCGGATGCGCTCCGAGTCGGAGGGGTGTGGCATGTGGTGCCAGGCGGCCTCCTCCATGGCCTGCTGGTACAGCTGCTCCTTACTGAGGGGCACGGGCCCCAAGGGACACACGCCCAGCGACAGCGGGATGTTGACCTCCGAGAGCTGCAGCGGTGGCTGGGCCGAGGCCGGGGGCGCCGAGGTGCTGCCCAGGAGGATGTCTGTGCGGGGGCAGGTGGCCTCAGTGGCCGCGCACCGACCGGCTGTGCTCCGGCCCTGCCCCGCGCCGCCCCCCGCCCTCACCTCGCTCCGTGAGGTGCAGCGTTGGCACAGGGTCCTCGATGCCAGAGCTGAGGGCTGCTCGCTCCGCCATGGACTTGAGAGAGCTCAGTGGCTCGGGGGCCTGGGGAGGGCGAGGGGCTGCGCTGAAGCCTGGATGCACCCGCCCTACAGGCCTGCGGGAGGGTGTGCGTGCCACACGCGCGCACACACACACTCTCTCCCTCTCTCTCTCCTGGTAGTTCACTGGGATGCCTCCCCCTCTCCAGGCCAAGGGTCAGACGCAGGGAGATCAGCACCCCTCCCAGAGGGGACAGTGAGGCAGGCGCCAGCTCGCAGCAAGCTGACAGCAGCGTGGCTCACGTGAGGGCACGGGGCCGAGGTTGAGTAGGCACCCAGCGCCACAGGGCCCGCTGAGGGGGAGAGGTGGGCAGACACGTCCAGAGGGTGAGCTGAGCGGGGCCGCCAACTCGCCTTGATCTCCGGGGCGGCAGTGAACTGGGGGGGCCCGTTGAGGAGAGCACCGGCAGCCTTGGCCTCGCTGAAGCTGGGCGTCGGGGAGCTGGGAGGGTTCACGGACAGTGGCACCAGCAGGCTGGGCCCCCCTGAGGTGTTCCCTGAGCCTGGGGCGACGCCCCCTGCCACTGCTGGGGCTGCTGCGCTGGGCTCCTTCCTGGGGGAGGGTGGACAGGAGCGCAGCTCAGGCTGGGGAACCAGGACATGCATGGGGGGCTCCGAGGGGCTGCCCCTCCAGGGCCAGAGAGGAAGGCCTGGCCCACCTCAGCCAGAACAAGCTGCCCACATGTCCCGGCTGGGAGCGCACAGGTACCCGACACCCAGCCAGTGGGCAGAGCTGGCCGCTCCACTTGGGGCCACCGTGCCTGAAGCCTTCCGCCCTGCCCCGCTCCCCGCGCTGGCCAGGACACTCACGAGGCGCTGGGTGGGGGGTTGTGGGGGCCTGAAGGGGCACCCAGGGCCTGGCTGCTGGCGCTGCTGCCCCCACTGCTGCCCAGAGCTGCCTCTGCGGGGCTGTCCGCCACAACTGAGCTGTAACCTGGGGGAACGGGGACAGTCAGGGGCTGCGGGCTGCTGCCCACCCTTCCCAGTTCCCCGGCCACGGCTGCACTTACTGGTGGCACCATTCTGCTTGCCAGCACCTCCACCAGTCCCGCTACTGCCGCCAGCACTGCCTGCGCCAGCGCCCCCACTTGGCTGCACACTGGGGGGCCGGGGCTGGGAGGAGCTGGGCCCGCTGGGCGCTGAGGGAGCCACGGCCTGGGCATAGGGGGCAGGAGTACCGGCGTTGTGGCTGGGGGCGGGACTGGCCTTGGGCCCCAGGGTGCTGGCTGGTGCTGCTGGCGTAGGGACCCCGTTGTTGCCAGGGGCAGCAGGCGGGGGGCCGGAGTAGGCGGGCGGCACAGCGGGGGACTGCGGCTGCTGGGTGCTGTGCACAGGCTTCGAGCCATTCTTGGCTGGAGACTGCAGGGAAGAGTCCAGGGTGAAGGCCCAGCAGGCAGCGGGCAAAGGAGTGCCCGGGGCCAGCCCCAGGCTTCAAACACCCACATGGCATCTAGCCTGCCTAGCTCCGGGCCACATGGGGGTGTGCCAACAACCCAGCTGTCAGACCACCACGGGGACAGCGAGGGACCCTCTGTAGCCTGTCACAAGTGGCATGGCACACAGACTGATGCCACCAAGGCCATGAAGAGCCCACAGGGAGGTGCCCCCATGGCATGAGAAGCACCAATGAGAGCTGAGCCTGGCTGCCGCTGCCCACTGCCTCCACGGGCCACCCTGCTGCCCACCTTCAGCAGCCTCTGGGCCTGGCCTGCCCTGTCTGCACCAGCCTGAGACAGCCCTGCCAAGTGCTGTGGGCACAGGGACCCCCTCCGCAGGGCGTAGAGCCCGGCCCATGTGGCTCACGTCACTGCCCAGGCTGTGTGGTCACGGCTGGCCTCGTCTCCCCCTGCCCGCTCAGCAGCTTGGGAAGCCTGCTGGAACCCAGCCTGCCCAGACCCACCTGGCTGACCTCACTGTCCGTCGAGCGGCCCCTCTTCTTGTCATCTTCCGAGTTCTCCTGAGCGGACACGGCGAGGCAGAAGGCTGTGACGTCCAGGGCCTCTGCCCCGGCACCCGAACGCCTTCCTTGGCCTCCCCGAGAGCCCTGCTCTGAGCACCCCCACCTGCCCCACCTCTCCCACAGACCCCCAGCAGCAGGCAGGCCCCTCAGCCAGCCGAGCCCAGGCCCTCGGGGGCCTCACCGTGGTGCAGTTGGCCGGGCTGGGGGGAATGGGGGAGCTGGAGGTGGTGGAGGTGGGTGTGCTGCTGGACTGGTTGAAGATCTCGTCCTCCATGTGGCTGTGGCTCGGGGGGGAGGTGGCGACCAGCGCCTGTGCTGTGGGGGCAGGGCAGGGTGCTTAGCTGGCCGCGTCGCCCCCCGGCCCCCGCTGCCGTCCACGGGCCCACCCCGGGGCCTCACGAATGTCCTCGAGGTCCAGGTCGTCGTAGAGGAACTCGTTCTCCTCGAAGTCGGGGTCCTGGGAGGAGTCGACGTAGTACTCCACGTCGTCCTTGATCTTGCGGATGGCGTCCACGAGGATGGAATCGTTGTCCAGCATGCGCAGGATGGTCTCGAGCATGCGCACGTGGTAGCGGTGCTTCTCGATGTGCCGCTTCAGGCCCTCGATGCGGTCCTGCTTCTGCTGGCGAGCCCAGGGCCAGGCTCAGGGGCGCAGGCGCCACCCCCTGCCCCGCCCCAGGGCTCCTCCAAGCCTGCCCAGCAGCCCTGCCCCTGGTGGGGTGCAGACACACCCCACTCCCCCATCTTTGTCTCTGTGGGGCGCCTGCCTCCTTCGCCTGCCCCAACTCCCCTCTTCACGGATCCCTGACCTGCCCCTCCCCGCCCGCGGCCCCCGCAGCTCCTGCGCCATCAGGAGCACACCGAGTCCCTTTCTGGAATCTTCTCTGGGCCTCAGCCTTGCTCCCACACCCAGTCGCCAGCCTGTGGGCCACAGGGCTCCCCACTCACATCCTTGTCGCCTTTCTTCTTGCGCGTCTGCACTGACAGTGACTCCACTTCGCTCTCAAACTGGTCCACCTGCATGTTTAGGGTGTCAATGGTATTCTGGGGAGAGAGGAAGGCCGTGAGGCAGCGCTCGTGCGGGGGAGAGCCGGGCCCCGCGCTCACCTCCTCTCCTCCACCCCGCTCACCGTGAGCCACTGGCCGACCTCCTCCTTCTCCTTCTGGGCAGGGTCCACCTTCTGGGCCAGGCCCAGGCCCTCCTTGCTGTAAGCTTTGGTTTTGGTCTCTCGCTCCACAACTTTGAACCGTTCCATTTGCTGTGGAGAGCGCAGCTGGTGGAGAGCGGCCGCCGAGGGTCAGCCGTGGCCCGTGCCCCTGCCCGCCCCGGGCACCTACCGTCTCGATGAGCTTGCGGTTGTCGATGAGCTGCCTCTTGTCCTTGATCTCGTTGGACGCGACCCATGTCTTGATCTGGTCCCTCAGCCGCTGCGCGGGGAGCAGCACGCGTTGGCCCCAGGGCCGGCAGGAGGCCCCGGCTCCCTCTGCTCCCTGGGACCCAGCAGTCCGCTCTCCCGGTCCCCCCACCCGCAGGACACGAGAGTCCGGCCCCCGGCCCCCTCACTTGCAGCTTCTTAATCTCCTTCTTTAGGTCAGCCTCATACTTTTCTTTCTGGTTCGCGTTGGCCGCATTGTGGAGCTGAGGAACGGAGAACGTGGGGTCAGGGCAGGATCCGCACTGCCCCGGGACCCGGGCTTCCAGGGCCACAGCCGTACCTTCTGCCAGATATCCTCAAATTGCTCCACGCCCTCGGACACCTTCTTGAGGCAGCGGTCAATCTCACCTGCCGGGGGAAGCAGGCGTCAGGGGCCGGGACCCGGGCCAGGGCGCAGCTGCCGCAGCCAGCCCAGGTCAGCCCCGTACCTTGGAGCTTGCGCTTGTCCGCCATGGTCCCTGCCCTACGGACGCGCTCTCTTCATGCTCCCCTGGAGACGGCCACTGCGGCAGACGGGCAGGGGTCGGCACTGTCCCCGCGGGGCGCTGCTTGGGGCGGGCACAGGACAGAGGGGGACGACGTGGTCACTGCCTGGACACACAGCCGGTCCCCCCTCAACTCCCTTGCTGCCCAGTGCCTGGTCCAGGAAGGAACAGCAGGTGGGCAGTCCCCTCTCCCCAGGGCACGGGCAGTGCAGGGCACGGGCAGTGCAGGGCACGGGCAGAGCCACCTCCTGCAGAGACCAGGCAGGCGACAGAGGACACAGGGACGCGGCCTCTTGCACAGAGCCTGCACACACCAAGCCCAGGTGGCCTTCAGGCCTAAATCCAGGGCAGAGTACACACCTCGGGGACCTCACCATCTTCTCCCACAGGCCCTTTCGAGACCCGAGGACACAGGGCAGTCCCCGACCTGAAAGGTGACACCCCTGAAAACTTCTGGAATGGCTTGCTCTGGGGTCAGATGGGAGGACCTGAGACGTGTGGGAGCAAAGAGAAAGCTCGCCTGGACAGGACAGTGGGAAGCACCTGGGCCCCGGCAGCGGCAGCACGCACTAAGGACTCCCTAGGTCCCCCAGCAGGTGCAACAGGAATGCAGACCGAGCGCAGGAAGTGCCAGGCGGCGCCCCAGCCCAGGGAGGGCATGGCTGCCCAGGAGGCAGGGCTGCACCCCGAGGACCAACAGCCGCAGGCCAAGAGGGGCTAGGAGGGGCTTAGAGAGGGCCAGACCAGGCCTGTGCAGAGACGCGTGGCCCTCACACCAGCTAGCCCCAGCCAGTCCTCAGCTACCCCACAGGGACCCAGGCTAGAGGGGCAAGGGTGCATGCCCTACCAGAGCCAGTGTGCCCCCGCAGGGCTAGGAGGGGCACAGACCAGTAGGGGAGGCCTGTGGAGGATGTTGTGCAGCCCCATGCCGGGCCAGCAGGACTGGCAGTCCCCAGCCCAGAGCCAGCACTGGAAGGGGCAGTGACTGGACCCGGGGACAGCAGTGCCCGACCAGCCACGCAGGGGTGGGTCTCTGGAGCAGCACCCACTCAAGGGGCTGCCTGCACCTCACACCCCGCAGCAGCTGCCCACAGGACCCTCCCGAGCACCCCCAAACCAGTCAGCCAGCGCTCCCAGCCACACGCCCACACCCCCCTCCGTACAGCACTCAACGCAGGGGGCGGTGGGGCTGAGCTGTGCAGGGCAGAGGTACGCAGCCCTCTCCCCACAGGCTCCCACCCTGGACAGGCCGCTCCCCGGGGACAGTGAGCACCCTGGGGTGTCCGGCCGCAGAGCTTGCGGGTGGGGGCGCCCCCGAGATGCAGCAGGGACCCCCTCTATGCCAAGACTCTCCGGGGCGTCCAGGACCCCGTGGCCCGGAGCCGCACCTGCCGGCTGTCCACGGCCACTCCGCCCCCAGACCTTCCCTTCAAATAACAAAAGCCGGACGGAGCGAGCTGCGAGGCAAACGGGTGTCCGCGAGAGGAGCGCGCGGGAAGTTTGCCCCAAGAAAGGCCCCGGGTCCCTGCGACCCCGGCCTGCACACTGGCCCCAGGGGAGCTCCGGGCACACGCCGGGGGTACCCCAGGACCCTGCTCCCGGGGCGCTGCGGGTGCACACACCTTGGGGTCCCGCAGGGCCGGCCCCCCGCCCCGCTCCCCGCTCCGCCGGCACCGAGAGCGCGGGCACCTGAGCCAGGGCGCCTCCATCCTTGCAGCCGGAGGGGCGGGCGCCGCGCACCCCTCCGGGAGGGCGCCCGGCCAGGCGTTCCGGACGCGCGAGGGGCCGCCCCCGCCCGCCCGGAGCCCGGGGCGGGGAGGGAAGGGGTCCGGCCCAGCCGAGCCTGACGCGCTCACCACGGGAGCTGGCACCGCCGCCGAGGAGCGTATCGCGACAGGCGGGGGAGGCGAGCGCCCGCCGCCTCTTCCTCGCGCCCCGGGCCCGGGCGCTATGGCGCTAGCGGCGCGGAGCGGGAGCGGGGCGTGGGGGCAGAGGGCCCGGGGCTGGTCTGACGACGGGGGTCGGGGCTCAAGGCAGGCCGCGGCGTCTGGCCGATGGCTCCGCGGAAGCTGACCGGGCCCGGTCCAAGATGGCGGCGGCGGAGGAGGCCTCCCCTCCTCTCTTCTCGTCTCTGGCGCCGGCCCGCCCCCGTGCCCCGAATATAGGGCCATCATTGCTCCTGCGGCAAATCGCTCTTGGCCCAAGGCCGCTCCTGATTGGTTGCTGGCAGGGATGCGGCCAGTCCCCTCTCGCCGATTGGGCAACCGGTCCAGGGCGCGGCGTTCGATTGGCCTCCCGTGCGGCCGGCCAGGATTGGCTCAGGTTCTCTCCGCCGCCCCGCCTCCTCCTCCCGCCTCAGGGCACAACACGCCAGCGCGAGGACCCGCGCGTCCATCAGGAGGCCTGGGTCGTGCTGATTGGCTGTACCCACCCCCCTGTTCTAAGCCGATTGGCCAGGGGGCGGAGCTAGGCTGATGAGGGGCGGGAAGTCGCCCGTCAAGTTTTCATTGGCTGCGGGATGCCTCTCTGCTCTGAAGCCATTGGCTGGCTTCGGAAGTGGGCGGGGAAAGCGGAGGAAGGCATGGAGAAGGGGGCGTTAAAGGCCGCGTAACTAAGGAGAGACGGACAGGGGCCTTCAAAGCAAAGGGTGGGGCCGAGCGGTGCCAAGCGCCAATCGGAACAGCCGCTGGGCCGGGGGGCGGAGCCAGGTGAGGGAGCTCTTCCTCCTTGCGTCGTTGGTCTTGTTTGTGGTCACTCACCTCAGCCTGGCCAATAGCGCGGCGAGGAGGCGGTGCCTGCTCAGGGAGCGAGTGACAGAGGGTGTCCTGGCAGGTGCCCCGTCCCTCATGGCGTCCCGGCCAGGTAGGCCTTGTGGCACACTTGTGCAGCTCCGCACCTGCCGAAGGAAGCCAGGAAGGGAAGCGCAGGCAGCTGCCGCTGAGCCGGGCGGCTTGGTCCAGAGGAGGGTCGGGCTGAGATGCCCGCAGCTGCTCCAGCCTCGTGGGGCGCCCTTGCTCCTGAGCGGCTCCCCCGACCCGGTGCAGCAGGGTGGCGAGGGTTCTGGGGGTCCAGACACCGCCTTTTCTTTTTTTTCTTCAAATTTTTATTGCAATGGCAGATTTACAGAGAGGAGAGACAGGAAAGTTCTTCCGTCCACTGATCTGATCCGAAGCCAGGAGCCTCTTCTCGGTCTCCCACACGGGTGCAGGGTCCCAAGGCCTTGCGCCGTCGACTGCTTTCCCAGGCCACAGGCAGGGAGCTAGGTGGGAAGCAGAGCAGCCTGCACACGAACCGGCGCCCATGTAGGATCCCCGCGCATGGAAGGCAGGGTTTAGCTCCGGACACTGCCTTCCTTGACAAGCTCCAAGCCGGGGTGGCCCTCGCCTGAGGCCTGGCCGCCATGGTGGGGGGCCATACCCATGCAGCTCCCAGTCCCATGGCAAAAGCCCTCCACACTTGGCCAGAGGAGGAATGGAACCATGGCCCCTCCCCAGCTGACCCACGTCGATGAGCCGAGGAGGTCCTGGCTGGTGAGGCCCATAGGGCCGAGGGACACCCTGAGGTGCACCCAGAGTTCGGAGGCCTCGGGGGCCATAGAGCAGGAGCCGAGGGCAGTGGGGGCTACCTCCTGCCTTTGCCCAATCTCCAGGGTGACTAGAAGCCCAGAGCTGGCCGGTCAGGGGATCCTGTAGGGTGGGTGGGTGGGGTGGGGTGGGGGTACACTCCAGCCCACCCTCACTGCCCCCTGTCCCCTTGCTGTCTGAGCCCTGTTCCCCTCAGCCCAAGGGAAGGTGCCCAAGGACTGGGGCTGTGAGGGAGGGGAGGCCCTGGCCCTGGGCTCGGCACCGCCTCTCCCCACATGGGGTCACTGGGCCCTGGGCACACCAGTGCCACCTGCTCTTGCTTCCTCCTCCCCAGGCATCTGGGCTCCTCTATGGGCACCTGCTCGAGGTATCCCAGTCCACATGCTCCTAGGTTCTGGGGAGGAGGTGGCAGCAGAGCTGGGTTGAGCCCAGACGTGCCCTGTTGGGGCCCCAGTTCCCACCCAGAGCCCCCTGCACGGCTGCCTTCAGGGCTCCAGGGTCTGATACAGCATGCTCTTGGGGCCACATCCTTGTAATATGCTTTAATTGTACCTGTCCCCCCAACACCACCTGAGGCTAGAGTAAAAAACGCTGGGTACAGTACATGCTCCCGGGCCTGTGCGGGTGGCGATCCAGGCCTGGGGAGGCCGGCACTGCCTGGACAGTCCTCGCCCCGGCCACCCCAACCTCTTGGTCCAGGCCCTTTCCCAGTCCCTCCAGGAGGGCCAGGGCTCTGTCCCTTCCGCGGGCAGCCACCTGGTTGCACAGACCCCTCAGGTGGACAGGATGCCACTCTTCTCGCCCTTGACCTTGAGGAACTCAGCCATGCTGGAGAAGTACTTCTGGTTGGCCTCGGCCACCTTCTTCTCAGCCGCCTGAGGATTCACAATCTCTAGGCCCTGGCAGAGGTGCAGCGAGAGGAGACAATGGTGGGTGGGCGGCTTCCCCGGGCTCCCCAGAGCCCCTCCTGCCAGGAGAGATCTGGTCCTGCTGGGCCTGGCCGCTCAGGGGCTGGGCAAGGGAGCCCGGGGATCTCGCCCTGCTGAGGACACACGGCCAGCTGTGAAACCCAAGCCCAGCAGACCAGCCTTCTCAAGGGTGGCCATGATGTGACCACAGCCACCATGGCCTGGAGAGGGCAGTCACCTGCTCCAGGTAACACAGGGAGTAACTCAGACCCCCCCACCCCTCCCGGCTGCAAGCCAGTCTGTGGTCCTGGCTGAAAGACCCCATCTGGCCCTTGTCTTCCAGGGCCCGCCAAGGCTCAGGGCAGTACCTGCAGAGGGGTGAAGGCCACGCTGGAGGCAGTCCCCGATGTACGGTCCCGGATGGTGGACTTGCCGCCATACACCACACTCTGCTTCTGCAGGGTCCGCTGTGGGAGGGAGGGGAGCGGGTGACTGGGTGCCCCTGGGGCCTGGCCTGCAGCAGGCAGCCTGGCCCATACCTGCAGGGTCTACTGTGAGAGGAGAGCCGGTGACTGGGTGCCCCTGGGTCCTGGCCTGCAGCGGGCAGCCCGGCCCGGCCCATACCTGCAGGGTCTTGGAGATCCTGGCCTTGGTGGCTTCGTTCACCTGCGTCTGTCGCACGCGCCCGCTGCCGGACTTGCCCAGGTGGCCCAGGCTGAAGCCCAGATCCTCCTGGTACGCGTCCTCCTCGATCTGGGGGCAGGGAGGCCAGTCAGGGGGCTGGGCTTCAGCCCCAGGTGATGATGGGTCCAGGCAGCCCTGTGTGAGGATCCCAGGTGGCCCTGGGGGACAGCAGGAGGCAGAGGGGCGGGATTCGGGGTGAGGAGCAGGGCTGACCTCGCCGAAGCTCATGCGGTTGGCCTGCTTCCGGATCTCCGTCAGCCCCAGGCGCTCCTTCATCTTGCGGTACCTGGGTGGGTGGGTAGGGGTGCGGCATGGGCAGAGAGCTCCCGCCTCTCCTGCTCCGAGCCCCCCTGCGTGCCGTGCCCGGGCCCTCACCTGCGGCCGCCTCGCTTCTTGCGCTGCCCATCCAGGGGCGCGGGCAGCGGCTTCACCTGCTTCACGGGGGGCGGCTCCTGCCATTTGTCGAACTTGCGCTCTATCTCATCCTTCAGCTCGTAGCCCACCTGGTGGGAACAGGGGGTGCTGGGGCGGCTGCACCTGCAGCCCACCCACCCATCACCCGGGGCCATGGAGGACGTGCCCACCGCGCTGCCCCCAGCTCCCACTGTCTCAGGGCCCAGACCTCCAGGGAGGTGGGGCTGTGTGTGCCCACGCTAGCGTGTGTGAACACATGAATGCATGAATGGGGGTGGGGGCAGCTAGATGCCAGAACACTGCCAGGCCAGGCTGGGAACAAAGCAGCACCCAGGACGGCACCTCCAGCTGGTGGTGGCATGGCAGGCAAAACCACACCCCAGACCTGAACATGCCACCTCACAAGGTTCACAGGGTGAGGGTGGGGAGGGTGTCATGGGGTCTCGGGGTCCCTGACCCGGGGCTGGGGACCTGCCACTGCCTGACAGGCTCTGGCCATGGGAGGGGCCACAAGCTGAGGACCAGGCAGCCAGGGTGACAGCCTGTGTGGCCCGTTCGCATCTCTGACCTGTGGGACAGCAAAGGACACGCCTTGGGAGGGGGAGGGGGACCCCTGTCGCCCTAGCGACTGACACAGCAGGAAAGGGACAACTGGTCTTGCCCAGCTTCACGCAGCAACGGGCTGCCCAGGCCCTCACCTTGCCCTCCGTGCTCTCGTGGAAACTGTCCACGCGGGCGGCCAGCGTGCACTTGGCGGCCACCAGCCGGGCCGCTTTCCGCCGCAGATCCTGCAGCCAGGGAAGGGGTGGGCAGAGTCTGTGAGGGACGGAGGTGTGGCCACGGCCATGCAGCCTCTGCCCACCAAGGGGGCTGCACCCAACAGCCCTGTGGGCGGTGTCCCCTGGTCCCACCAGCCTCTACATTTCACAGAAAGGAGGCAGCACCAGCTGCCTCAGTGGAGACCTGACTTCTGGCAGCGGTGGGCCA